ATATTCCAAAATAGCGTGTTATGTCAACACATGACAGATTTGAAAATTACAGTAGACCAACTATTTATTGAAGATTCTAGGCAAATTGGTATTATTTTTGTAACCCAGCAACAAATATAATTTTTCGATCCCACCCTGAGGTGCCCTTCTGGGATTGGCGGAATTAAGGGTCTAATAACTTTCTTATGCAAACAAAAGTTACTTCTTCGGCTGCACTTTGTGGCGACCCATTGCCGCCGGCACTTAACATTTTTCTCTGGGGCGCGAGTTCTGGCGCACTRTGTATATTTAACAATTTACAAGCAATTGTTAAAATCGTCCAAATTAAGACACTTTTCTATCATAAAAGTATGTTTTCTGGAGAGATATACCCCAAATACAGGTGACAGATAAGTGAAAYGTATAATTTTTTAAACATTTTTTCCATGTTCCTGGTATCTTATCTTACTTGAATTTTTTCTCTGGATCGCGAGTACTGACTGGCACACCCTGTATATTACTAAAATTAATAGCTAATAAACAACCTATTTTAATAAACATTTGTATAATGACAAATATTATCTACATCTTTATCATTCACTCTACACAAAGAAAGTTAACACATCAAAAACTAGTATACCATTGTGGTGAACATTTTTGTCATGATTTTTAAAAACTCTTCCGTTCTGTGTGTGATACTAATTTATCAAATTATTTTTTCTAAAGCATTTACAACTCGAAGAAGCATTGACGATTTAATGTGGAAAAGAACAGCCGAAGAAACGAATCTAACCACGACCCAAAAAAGTAAACCAACAACGAGTAATATCAATAGTATCATTGACGACATTTGGGGACAATCTGATGAGAAAATAGAATCAAATATCACTACAAACAGTGAAGTGAATCAAATGGGTTCTCAAAATAACATTACAACAATCACGTCATGTACTTGTACCCTTTATTATCTCTGCAAAGATGATTCTGGGGATACTTTTGGTGGTATAAGGTAATAAATATAAATAATATAATCTGATTTTTCACATTTCGTTAAATCCAAATCATCATCGTCCATTCATAAGTGGCGCTATTTTTGCAGTAACAGGATGTTAATGTTAGAAAATATGCTTTTAAAACAAGATAGATTGTGTCAAGATACAGGGCGTCATAGCTAGGACTATACCACTCCCAAAACCAGCCCAAAATATACATACTTGAAGCTTATACCTACAGGCTGTTCTAGCGATTTGGTCTTTTATTAACCTTTAAATGATAAAATACTTAAATAATTGGTTTATAAAAGTTATCATCAAGTACGCTCACAAGATGTTTCGAAAATGAGTAACCTATACAAATCTAATAAAATAAATAAAATATTGCAATTATTTACTATTATTTTTTTATTTATTCATTTAAGTATTTATGACTGCAAAAAGTAATTGTAAATAAATTCATCGCTCGGGACCAAAAACCCGCCGCATTTTAATAGGTAGGTATACCAAGCTATAATCTTAAGTTAAATATCTTTTTAGAAAATTTTGGAAAACATTTAATAAGTGTTTAGAAAGAGTATTTAAAAATCTAAATACAATTCAAATACCTAATGTATGCTATTCAAAAATTTTTAAATACCTAATTTAAATGTTTTAAGTGTTTTAAGTTYTTGCAATACGCGTAATAGTACGAAGTGATCCAAAAAGACTGAGTTTGTTGGCAACAGATTTGAAAGTATTTTTGTTAATAATTTGAAACACTGCAACCGGATACGGTTTTGCTTGACAAATACTGTGCGATCAAAAAAKATAAATTAGAGTAGGCGACGATTAAAGTCCTTCAGATGGCAATCCTGATTTTTGACATGAAATGTCAGCGGAAAATTTGACAAGTTAGCTTTTTATTCATTTTCAGTGAAATAATGTTCACTTTACAGCAGAATTTTTTTATTGCTGTACAAGACGAAAATGGTGAATGGTCATTTTCACTTTCAATTTGTGTGGAAAWTTTCCAGCCCAGATTCCCAGCCAATGTGTTGCCAATTGTAGAATTTAATCGACGCCTATACTCCAATTTTTTTTTTTTTTTGATCGCCCGGTACTTGATGTACAATACAACCCCATAAAATTGTTGAATTGTTCTTAATCAAAAGCGTACTCTAATGGTAAGCTTTAAAAATTAAGGTRAGGATCGCAACATATTCAATCATTGTGGATCACTTTGTATATTAAAAAACAAGTGTTACAAATATTGTGATATGAGTAGTTTGCACTATTAGCATAATGAGAAGTTGTAACACGCGTTTTTTTATACTATTTTTTCTAATTTGCGTTTATAATWCGTTTATTAACGTCTCCCGTAGGAGTCGTTTATGGCTCTATAAAAGCACACTGTGCTTTAATGAATTTAGGGTTATTTAGTTTTTGGATGCAGCTTCTGACTTGTCAGGTAACAAATTTTGCGTTGTTGCTTCGGCAATTTGGCGAATTTCGGGCGGAGTGCAAACTAAATTCTGTTTCTCATATTTTATTTATTATTATTATTATGWTGTAATACTAATAACTAATAATTTGTAAATTTTATTTTTAATGACAGACGGCAGAAATGGCTAAAAAAACAGGTGGGCGCCGAGTGTTACCAACCGATACCAACTAACACAAAATTCTCTAGGCGACAAAAATATATATTTTTTTAATTAAAATAAGAAAAAAAGGGGGCGCAAATTAGAAAAAATAGCATAAAATACTCGTTTTATAATGGCATTGGCGCACTCATCCCATA